CACATACCCTCCCCAATGTCTATCACTCACCCAGCCCCATCCCTCCCACCCCCCACCACTCCAGCAACCCTCAGTGTGTTTCCCGAGATTAAGAATTCCTCATATCAGTGAGGTCATATGATACACCGACAGCTGTTTTTAAAGAGAAGAGAGTACATGTTTGATGCACTCACGCTGAATGAAGCAAAGCTAATGAGAGGCTGCCTAGTAAAGGTTTTTAGAGTGTTTGCTTTAATGAACCCAGTGAACTGGCTTATTGGCACAGCAGGAGCTTGTGGGTAAATTATGTTCTGTAGCCACAGCCACCATATATTAAAGCCTGTCCAGTGCTGTGCAGGGACGTTTACAGTGTTGTCCTCACAGAAACCCAGTGAAGCAGGTAGTGGTATCTTCATTGCACGGCTGAAGAAACAAGCTCAGGGATTCAGACTTTCATGGCCCCATACAAGTAAATGATTGTCAATATTCTAACCAAAGCCCATTCTCTTCATATGATAACAGTCTGCTTCTGAATACATTGTACTCAAATATTTTAAACATCCTCTTACCGACTTATGTCATATGTTAATTTGTACTGTTTTAAAGAGCAACTAGACTTTAATATAGCTTAATCTGGGTTGTCAACATTTCTGAATTACTAGCTTATACATAAGATTCTTAAAGTTCTACTGTGGTTTTTGTGAATTTTTAATAGATCTGAGTCACTTACATGAAGCTACTTTTTACAGTCCCCTTTTCAATCTCTTATATAAGTGTGGCATGGTGGTTAAGAGCATAGAATGATTAAAAGCTCTCAAGTCAGAACTCCAGCTCCATCTCTTCTTCACCATGTAACTGTGGGCAAGTTATTTGCCACTCTGCCCCCCATACCTCAGCTTCTGCTGTAAAGAAGGGATAATAATAGTTGCTACCTCATTGGACTCTTAGAAGAATAATATATATTAAGCATTTAGAACAGTGCCTGGCAAATAATGAGCACTCTGTAAGTATTACCTATCATTACTCTTGTGGTTACTATTTTTATTGTTAAATGTTTATTCTTTATTTTTAATGTATATAATAACATTTCATACAGATTTTATTTGATATAATTCTGTTTTTGGCATTGTATATAATTTTTAAATCTCTTCTAACTGTATGGTTTTCCAAATAATTCATATTTGTTATATACTTAGTATGCTTTTTCAATACATCATATGATTATTTTTAAATAGAACAAATTAACTTCATTTGTACTTGATATTTTTATTCTGGTTGAAATAATTTTTATAATTCTAATTCAGGACATGGCCCAGTAATTCATAACGCTGAAGCTAAAATTCTAGAATACATTTCTCACAGAAATCTCCGAGAACAGCAAATTCTTACATTGTTTC